CACCACCATACTCAGTTCATTTTTATTTGTGATTTTATTGTATTTAATACCTATTTATAGAATGCATGATTTCTGAATGCACACAAGTCCAGCAAGGACATGTCAGGCCAAAGGGCCCAGCTGCAAAGGACCTGCCTGCATGCTGTGACATCCTTAGCAGCATTTTGATCCATATACGCTTTTGCAGCTGCTGCAGACACTGATCTGGGTCTTCACAACCAGTAGCACTCATGGCAGTGAAACCTCCATCAAGCAGGACGCAGTGACAAGAGCCAGGACATAACCTGACCTGGGACAAGCATGCCCTGACTTTGAAGGAAATGACATGGATCCGTAAGCGTGACGGGCTGAGACCCCGGGGCCAATCATTAAAAGGAAAAGCAGAAGCCAGGCGCGGTGGCACATGCCTGTGATCCCAGTACTCAAGCAGCTGAGGCAGGAGGATCTCAGCAAGTTCAAATTCAGTCTGGGGTAATGAGCTCTAGGCCAGACTGAACTATGTCATGAGACCCTGTGTCCAAAAACAGAGAAATATACAGATAAACAGACAGGCAAAGTGATACAGACAGAGTCCCACTCCCTGGGCCACCTTGTCCTCACCTACAAAGTGGGATTTTTCAGTCCCTTCTGGATCTAAATGTCCCTGATTCCAAATGCAGTCTTCTGGTCACTACTGAGATTTTTGCTGACCGGAAGCAGGGGAAAGGTGTTTTAATCTGAACAGGAATTTTTTCCCACACATCTCCAAACTGTCCCATTGACAACTGGCAGGTTCGACAATCTCTTTTTTTGTGTGACCTGAAGAGCATTTCTGCATTGTGTTGTCTCAGACAAGAAATCACCCCGCTGATGGGGGTGGAGGTGAGAGAGATTCAGAGGGGGCCCCCACAGCAGTTCTCAAATCCCTTACTCTCTGACACCAGGGGTTCATTGACAGTGGCCCAAGGATTGCAGAGGATGCTTGTGAACATCCCCAGCACAAAGGAAGGTCAGTTAGCAAACTCATGAACTGTGATTGGGGTACCGCTGTAAATCTCTATGAATCATTTGTTTTTAAGGGCTTCCCCTTATATTTGACTTCCTAATATAAGTCAATTTTCAAACTGTGAAAGTAATGCATTTCACACTGGAAAACTGCACTTGCAAAGCCAGTTTACACTGTAACAATTTTGCACTAGACAGTGGTCAGGAGACGGCAGTAGAGGGATTGGAAACGCTGAGATTAGTTTGTGTTCGGATGCCATAAGAGCAGCTCAGTGGCAAATGCTGCAGAAGTCTCCAAGGTTAATGCACAACTGCTGAGGCTGCTGAGCTGGGGGCAGAGGCACCCCATGACCTGGGGTGTGCGTGCAAATTAGCATAGACCCACAGGGAGCTCAAAAATAGATGCTCAAACTGGTGGTATCTTAACAGCAAGAAACCACAATCTGACTGCAAAACTAATAAATTCCACCCTTTCAAAGAAAACCCTCGTGCAACAGAGATGTTCTATTACAGAGGCTGCTCTGCCACATCACAGAACAGTTAACTGTCCCCCTAACCTCCCCCTGGCCACAGGATCTGGGGGACCCTGGTCTGGGCCAGTCTCTAGGGGCGCTATGATAGACTAGGCAGCCTGGGGAACAGGGCCAGGGGCGAGGGAACAATACAGCAGACAGGCTGCTGCTCCTGCCACGTTCAAGCTTGGAAGGCTGTCTCTGGGGTGTCCTAGGTCAGAATCCCAGGATAGGACCTGGGTTGATGTTTGGTTTGTGTCCCCAGGGGCTTTTAGGCAAACTGAAAGCTCCAGGACCTTGGCAAGTGCCTGACGGTGCTTATTTTTACTTGAGTTCTGATATGTAAACACCATGTGTCCAGTTTATATAACATCTATCCGTTACATACACAGAAACGGCACAATGACACCGAGAGCATATAGTCATACCGCGGTGTTGCAAATTTGGAGTGGAGCTGGGGGAAGGAATCAATTACGACATTAAATACCAAGTATCATGTGCTGTTTTATGTATCCTATCCTGAATCCAACCGGTGCAGATCTGTAGGGCAAAGGTCTGGTTACATTTTATCCAATGTTCTTGAGTTGCAGTAAAAAGAGGATTTTTTGATAGACTAAGCTAGGGTGAAAATGTTGGGCTTCTCCGCTGTTACAAAGTTTTAACGCCCCACTCAGGGGTGCTCATTGATCTCTGTCCCTGAAGTTTCTGTTGACTCCACAGTGACAGCAGCATGTCCTTCCTTGTCTCTGATGCTTCAGTTTCCAAGCCCGGGCATAGGGTAGACAGTCTTAGTCCTGCTTAGTCTTATTTCAGATACTACTGACAATACTTTCCCTAGCACGGTTGCTTACATGAAGTGATACTAAATAAAATATTTACTCCCTAGAAAAGAAGTATTTACTCTCCTTATTGCCTGTATTTCTGAGATTTTTTTTCGGAGATTTTTTTTTGCACGTTTTAAACATTCTGATATATAAGTAAGCATAAATACAAATGTAGGTAAACTATTCATGTTTCAGGATTCATTTATAGAATTGTACTATTACTTTAACTTAAAATATCCTTAAAGTAGATCCCGTGTAGTCCCATAGACCTGCATAAAGTCCAGTGTGGTGATCATGAGCCTCGAATGCTTGCTTCAATTTAAACTGCTTAGAATTAAAATTTTAAATTCAACAACTCAGTGGCACTAGCCATATTCCAAGTGCCCAGGAGCCACAAGGTAGGCAATGCCTCGACACCAAACGCAGTCCATGGGCACTGTTTGAACCGCTGTGGACTGTTACCGCCTCTAGCAATGCCCACATTATCAGAGATGCTGAGTAACTTCGTTGAATGCATAGTAAGATTAGTTTTAACTTGTCCTGCAATTCTTAAAATGTGAGTCAAAAAGACAAGACAGGTCTGTTTTAGTCCAAACCTACAATGTGACACCCTCAGATTAGCTGAAGTCGTTCCTCCTTTTGCTTGACACATTTTGGGTCATACCCTCATCAGATTTCTCTGAAGGTCTCATGCTAGTTCAGTCTGCTGTGTTTCTCCGAATGAATTGTCCAAACATAATTTCCCCAACTAGGTGTTTGAAGGTAGATAGAGGATGTACATACTAAACTTTCCAGGAATTGACTTGCTGTTCAATGTGTTAGCATCAAATCCCGAACTGATTTCTTAAAGAAAGAACTCCCTTTTTAAAAAGCTTTTTGCTCTTAAAAAATTAAGCAAGTATCTTGGCCCACTATGCATCAAACAGGAAACTAGAAACTTCCAACGCTAAATCGTACACATCCAAGATGAATTTCTGCAAAGACATGAGGTTTGAAAATGATCCAGTCCTTTGTAGGATTACAATAAACGCACCTTTGCCCCGGGCCCCACATTTTACTGCCCAGCTGCACAAATTAGGGACCAAAGCAGCTGGCACAAAGCACTCGTGCTCCTCACCTCTGCTCACTTTCTCACAAAACGGGAATCTTCCCCTAGAGCCCCTCTTAAGTAAATACATAAATTTTCTCCCTACACTTTTTGCAAATGGTACCTGAGTTTGCAACTTCTTTCCAGGACACCAAATAAATGTGACCAACTTAACCAAATAAACTGAATAATACCCCATAACTTGCAAGATGGGTTCCTACAGTTCATTTGCCACAACAGGCCTTTCTGTTAAAACAAACAAACTATATATATCCTCCAGCATCCTTCATAAATATGGTCTTAACGATTACAATTAAATGGAAACGGGCTCCTAAAAGAAATAGCTTTTTTGATTTGCTCAACAGACTGGGTACTTTACAGCTGCGTTCAAGGCAGAACTAAAATGAACTTCCAGTGAATTAGCGTATTAAGTGAGAACAAGGTTGAGACTAAGGTACACCGCCTCCGTTATATTTGATTTGCTGTGGTTCGAAATACAAAGAACTTAGTATGAGTCGCTTTACGGAATTCTTTCCTAACGGGGAAGTTTAGGGGATTGGGAGGCTGCCCACGATAGCCAGGGAAGACCAGTGGGAAGACCCACTCCCGCGCGGGTCTGGTGCCTTCTCTGCCGCGGGGGTCGGATCCGAGGGGGCCGCCCCCTGCCATCCCTGGCTGCCCGCGAACGTCTGAGTCTTTCGCGGGACCCAGCTCCGCAACCTGCTCCCTCCTGCTCACCTCACGCAACTAAAACCGCAAGAAATTAAGCAAGCTTAGAAGTGGTGGTTGATTTGCTCCCCGCGGGCCCTAAAATTCGGAGGTTGGATCCCACTTTTACAGCTCCTCAGTAAGCACCTGAGTCCAGCACTGGGCATTTCCAGCTAACCATCTGCCTCCCTCGCCTTTGTTTTCTGTGGGGAGAGGGGTTCTACTCCGTTTTAGTTGCCCCCTCCGCGGGCCTTCTACCCAGTCCTCGCCCTCTCCCCACGCCCTGTTACTCGCAGGCAAAATGGGACGCCCACCTCCACCCCAACCCCAACCCGGAGAATCCCGGGTCACAGCGGCAGAGGCGGGGGACGCGGGAGCAGCGCCACTCGGCGGCGAGGGCGCGAAGCGCGCCCGCCGACCTCCTCTCTCCCGGCCAGACAATGGTTTTCTGCCCGCAAAACGAAGTTAGGGGAAGTCGGGTGCTCCGGGGCCGGGCGGGACGCAGGCACGATCAGCAGATCCGAGGTGGCCGGGTGCCCCTGCCGCCACCCGGAGTGTGAGCCCGCCAGACCCGCTGCCACCCGGCCCGCACGGAGCCCAATCCAGATCCGGCCCCGGGACCCGCCGGCGAGCTCCGAGCCCCAAACACAAGCCCAGGCCCGGCCGGCGGCTGACAATGTGCGCCCCGCCCCACGCGCCCATTGGCCAGCGCGGTTTGGGCAGCGCGCGGAGCGGCGGGCGGTGGCGCGCGTGCGCGGGGCGGGGCGCGACCAGGGGCGGTGCTTTGTGTGCAGTAGCGGCGGCGGGCGCTCGGCACGGGGCGCGGGGCGCGGGGCTCGGGGCGCGGGGCGCGGGGCCGGGGTCTGGGCCGCGGGCGGGCGGCGGCATGGAGGAGCTGAGCAGCGTGGGCGAACAGGTCTTCGCCGCCGAGTGCATCCTGAGCAAGCGGCTCCGCAAGGTGCGTGCGCCTCCGTCCCCTGTGGCCGCCGCGCGCCAGCCCGTGGCTCACCCCGGCTCTTTTCTCCGCAGGGCAAGCTTGAGTACCTGGTCAAGTGGCGCGGCTGGTCCTCCAAGTGAGTCCGCGGCGTGCGGCCGGCCTTCCCGCGCGCGCCACCTCTCCGGGGACCGAGTCGGCCTGGGGACCCTCGGCCCGGCGTGCGATTGGGGCTCGGGGGCGTTCGCGGGCAGGGCGGGAAGTTCGCGGGATCCCCGGGCATTCCGCCGGCCCGGCCTGGGCTGCCCTTTGTTTACGAGCCCGCGGGGAGCAGGGCTTGGCTCCTCCCGCCCCGGAGCCCCGACGCGCCGCGCTCCTCCGCGCCCATTTGTTGCGTGCGTCCCCCGCGGCTCCCCACACCCGGCCCGGGGCCCCCTCCCCTGTCCAGGTTTCCTCGCTGTAACCTGAGCTTCGTATTGATGGATGTACTTTTTGCCCCTCTCCTCTGCTTGAGAGGGAGAGGACCTAGCGTCCCCGGAAGGGGCTCCGTGCGGAGCTGCTCGGCAGCCCTTCTTTCCCTGGACCCTCTCTCCCCTTTCTTTGCGCTCCCCCCTCTACCCCGGCTCGCGTCCCGCGCTCGCTGGGGCGCCAGCCACATTGTTCTGAGCTTTGAGCTGCGTCCACCCCCCTCGCGCCCCCACTTCCCCACTCCCAGCGCTCTGGACCTGCCTTCCCTTCCCTCTCTGGCTCCGGGCCAGAGTTTGGGGGATTCCCTCTGCAACTTTGTGTTTTATTGGGATTTGTTTTCCTCCGGGCCCCTGACTGTGCGAGTCCCCTAGTGGCCTGTTTTAATTGGGGACTTGAGGTGGCAGCTTCTCTGTGGGTTTGAAGTTGTGGCACAGGCTTAAGGGCCCTGAGGATCTGGGCCTCTGAGGATTGCCACCCTGCTGCGGTGCCTCTGCCCTGAGCGGGGCCGCGGGAGCCTCTGGTGCGATTTTGGTCTGATGTGTGATGGTGCCTTGCTCTTTGATTTTCCAGGCATAACAGCTGGGAGCCAGAGGAGAACATTCTGGACCCGAGGCTGCTCCTGGCCTTTCAGAAGAAGTGAGAAAGTTAACAGCGCATGCAGGAGAGGGGCTTTGTGGGGAAGGTGGACCCCTCCAGGATCCTTGGGCTGGAGTGGTAGGCTGAGGTCTATAACAAGACTGTTGCCAGGCCTGGCGATCAGGTGTCAGTGCCTTCTAGGTGGCTGGCTATGCAGGCCCCGGAGCCCTTCATTGGTCGGTGGTGCTGTGCTCATTCTCACAGCCAGACTTGGGAAAATGAACCTTCTGGGGTCTTTTGGGCAAGGACTCTGATTCCTGCTGGACATTTCTGTGGGACACTTTTTCAGGCAGTGCTGAGAGTCCTTGATGGCAGAATGCAGGCCCAGCCTCCTGCCCCTGTGTGAGTTTGCCTTAGGGCAAGAGAAAGCTCAGAGAGGGAGCTGGACCCCACAGCACAGAGTTGCACTTCTTTGTAAGGGGCATCACATTCATTTTGACCTAAGCTGTAAAACATTACTGAGGTAGGACCCCAGGGCAGCTAGCAGTTAGTACTGCATTTATTTCTGTAGTTGGAGGTGCTGTTTCTGCTTCTAGGTAGGAGAGTGGAGGAAGAGGTCAGTTGCTGTGAGGACGGGAGAGGAGTGGTAAGGGAGTGATGGCCTGAGCGGGTATAAAGAGCAAGATGCCAGGGGCAACATGAACACCTTCCTCCTTGTGGAGCTTGCATTGTCGTTAGAGGCAGATGAACTGGTTGCCTGGCTGAGGTCATTCTGGTGGGCTTGTTCTCTGTTACTCCAAGCTGTCCTCGCTTTTTCTCACAATGGCTGGGCCTTTTGGATCTTTGCAAAGGTGTTGGGACAGTGAAGGAAATACTTCTGGCCAAGCAGATACCAGTAAACTCATTCCCCTCCATTTGACTCATAGTTTGGTCCTATGTCTGCATTTAAGATAGCCTTCTCAGGCAGGGATATAGCTTAATGATATAAGCGCCTGCCTGGCAAATGCAAGGTCCAGAGTCCGATTCCTAGTGCTAAAATTAAAAAAAAAAAAAAAAATGTCCTCAGGCAAGGTGTCATGGCTTGCATTTAGAACCACTTGCATAGGAGGATTACTTGAACCCAGGGGTTCAAGGCCAGCCTAGGCACCATGGTAAGACCCCATCTCCCATAACAGACAAGAGTTCTAGAGTTGGGGGTATAGCTCGGGGCCAGAGCATTTGCCTAGCATGCACAGGGTCCTGGGTTACATCCTCAGTACTAAAAAGAAATAATACTATCACAGGTGACATGTCTTTGACCTAACTTTTTGTTAGAGTAGATGAGACCAAAACATCCAAATGACAGAAATTTAAAACCCATAGGATGGCTCCACTGTGGAAGAAAAACATCAGGAGGCTAGACGTTCTGCCTCCGCCCATCCAGCAAAGGGTCGGGTCTCTGTGGCAGTGGGGAGAAGAGCCCATGAGCGAGAAAGCCGCAAGTTCACAGCCCTCAAAGTATAGTAGAGGAGACCCAAGAGATACCTCTCATCCTTGTGGGAGGCTGCCAGTTGGAGAAGAGGCTGCTACAGCAGTTAGGCATTTGCCTAACTGTGAGGTCCCGAAGAGAGCACGTTAGCCTACTATAGTTACTGGGCATCTCCTCCACACAGGGCCCCTTCTTGCTATGGTGCCCTGAAACTCTAGCTTGCTCTAGGCATTGGGGGGTAGGGCCCTTGGCAGCACCTCCTGACCCCTGATGCATAGGGGCTGATGCAGGCTGCAGGCTTTGTACCCAGCCCCCTCCAAACTAGCATCTTGATAGAAGCATCAAAAATCTCTCAAGACAAAGTGAGAGGTGTTAGAGAAAAGGGGAAGTGGTGAGCCCTGGGGCCCTGGGGCCTGGGGTGAGGGCTCCCTGAGGGGCGATCTTTGTCACTGCCCTGCTGTGACTTCCTTCTGTTAAAGTGAGGAGGTTGGACTGTGTGGCTCTTAGACTGCTTCTCATTAGCCAAGCTGGGGTTGCCATAAAACAGCCCACCTGCAGAAAGTTGTCTGAAAAGAAAGTATACCTCTCTCTCAACTTTGCTCTCAGACCTTGCTTTGCCTCTAGCCAAATGCAGATGAGATGGAATGGGGTACAGGCCTGCTGTGGGCATTTGGTTGACGGAATATGTTTTTGCTGCAGGAATTGAGCTTCCACAGCCTGAGGTAGCAGGGAAGCGATGGGGTCCCCAGGTGGTAGAGGGGGGTGCAGGGCTTTTCCACGCTGACCCATGATGTGTCTTCAGGGAACACGAGAAGGAGGTACAGAATCGGAAGAAAGGCAAGAGACCCAGGGGCAGGCCAAGGAAACACACAGTGATGTCGTCCTGCAGCCGGCGCTCCAAGCTCAAGGTGCGTGCCTTGCGCCTTGCGTGCTGACCCTATTTGACTTCTTCCTTCCAGAGCAGCTCTGGGCAGGGGAAAGGTTTCAGGTGGACTTGGGCTAGGAGGCCAGCATTTGTGCAGTAGCCTTCCCCTGCTGCCTCTCCAAGCCTCTGCCAGCAGGGGGCACCAACAAGCCCACAGCCCCTGTTCTTCCCTCCACCCCAGCAAGGCCGGGCCATCTTCCCAAGGTGTTTCCATGTCTGTGGCTGCTCCTTCCTGTTGGGTAGCTGATCAGACTTAGCCACCATCCATAACTCTCCTCACCCCTCCAAAGGCTTATTAGGAACCAATAAATAAGCAGCATAACCAGGCATGGTAGCCAGTGACACTGTAATCCCAGCAGCATTCTAGGAAGCTGAGGCAGGAGGATCGAATGTTTGAGCCAAGCCTGGGTAAATTAAGGACTTAAAAAAATCCTGTCTCAAAAAAAAAAAAAAAAATCCTGTCTCAAAATAATAACTAAAAGGGCTGGTGACCGAGCTCAGCTTCAGCCCGCAGTACTGGGAAGGTTGGGGAACGGAAAGCGTGTATGTACTCTGTGTACTCAGGTTTGCTGCGTAGATGCGGGCTGTGGGACACATGTTTAAGTCCAGGACATCGGGCCACTCCAGGGCCCTCTCTGAGTGTACCGTAAATCCAGTGTCCGGTCAGTGCAGAGCTGGAGACTGGGAGGACTGAGAGTGGTAGGGCTTTGCTGGGACCAATGTCCAGTCTCTCTTCCCCCATGAGATGATGGGCAGTGAGGTGGACTCTTGCCCCACATCCAAAGATACACATGGCCAGGGCCCTGGCATCACCTCTGGCCCATGACAGATCAGAGACAGCAGGAGAAGAGGTTCGGGCCTTGGTTTTGGGTGTGTCCTGGATTCTGGGACACCTTGGCATGCAGTGGCCATGAGCTTAGTCATTTCCAAAGATTGTCCATCCTCAAGACTGGATTCCCTGCTTAGAATCTTGTTGACCAGTCTGTCCTGATTTCATTTGTCTTCTTCGAAATCTTCTCTGGTGCAGGCTGCAGAAATCCCACTGATGTGAGAAGTGATTTTGGGGGTACAGACCAGTGCCTGTCAAGGGGGCCTCGGCTTTCCAAGCCTAACAGAACCGCTCTGCCGTGGGAGGCTGGTGTTGGCTTCATCTCCCGAAGCCAACATCGTAGCCAGGCAACATGGGGACCCAGGAGGCTCGAAGACATCCTAGCTTAGCATTTGGAGTGACGGCCAGAGGAGAAGCGTTATGTGCTAGAAGACTGAGGGGTGGCAGTCGGGAGTGGGGAGGAGGAGGCAGAATGTGCCCGAGTTCCCACAGGGAGGCCCTGGGTCTGCTTCATTGAGCTCTTGGCCCTGAAGGGCAGGTGACCCCGGCTCTTCTCTAACTGTTTTAAATACGTGTCCCCCAGAGGCAGCGGTTATGCGGAATGTTGGGTGTGCTGTCACCTCACTGTGATGACTTCTTTTTACAAATACCCTATTTCTCTTTCCTATTCAACTTCAAATTTCACAGAAACTTATGAAAAGCTATTAATCGAGTCCCATCGGGAGCAGTGTGGTGGGAAATTGCTCCTCTCTGGCTCCTTCCCTGACCCAGAAGCCCCAGCAGCTGCTAGCTGCAAGGTACTTGGTATCTTCGGGGAAAGCCTGGCACCAGGCAGAAGAGATGTGATGCTTTCACCCTTGTCTTTCCAGGAATCCGACGCACCCTCCAAATCCAAATCCAGCAGTTCCTCTTCTTCTTCCACGTCGTCCTCCTCCTCCTCAGATGAAGAGGATGACAGTGACTTAGATGCTAAGAGGGGCCCCCGAGGCCGAGAGACCCACCCAGTGCCTCAGAAGAAGGCTCAGATCCTGGTGGCCAAGCCTGAGCTGAAGGATCCCATCCGTAAGAAGCGAGGACGCAAGCCTCTGCCCCCGGAGCAGAAGGCCGCCCGCAGACCTGTGAGCCTGGCCAAGGTGCTGAAGACGGCTCGCAAGGACTTGGGAGTCCCGGCCAGCAAGTTTCCCCCTCCACTCAGTGCACCTGTGGCAGGCCTAGCAGCCCTGAAGGCCCATGCTAAGGAGACCTGCAGCGGCCCTAGCACCATGGCCCCCCCAGAGAACCTGGCCAGCCTGATGAAGGGAATGGCGGGCAGCCCCAGCCGCGGCGGCATCAGCTGGCAGAGCTCCATTGTGCACTACATGAACCGCATGAGTCAGGGCCAGGCCCAGGCCGCCAGCAGATTGGCACTCAAGGCCCAGACCACTGGCAAGTGTGGGCTCGGGCTGGACCTGAAGGTGAGGACGCAGAAAGGGGAGCTGGGGGTGAGCCCCCAAGGAAGCAAAGTCCCAAAGGTCCCTGGGAGCGCTGGAGCTGTCGAGCAGAAAGGGGGCGGCGCAGTAGGGGGGGGCCATACCCATGGCAGTGGCAAAGTCCCCACCGGCTGCCCTGGTTCCCAGACACCGCCCACCCAGGAGCTGAGTCTACAAGTCTTGGATTTACAGAGTGTCAAGAATGGCATGCCTGGGGTGGGTCTGCTTGCCCGCCATGCCCCAGCCACCAAGGCTATCCCTGTCACCACCCCAGCTACAGGGAAGGGCACTGGGGGTGGCCACACTGGGGCAAGCGGGGCCAGTGTGCCCGTAGACGTGGGCAAAGGTGAGAAGGTCTCTAGGGCGGCAGCTCTGCCCACGCCTTCCAGCAAGAGGGAGAACACCAAGAGCAGTGCAGCCTCCAGTGGGCCGGAGGGCCACACGGCCTCGGGGGATGCTCGGAAGACGGCCGCCCTCTCAGAGATGAGCACAGGTGAGGAGAACAGCACTTCGGACTCAGACCCCGACTCGTCTTCCATGCCAGGGGCTAGACAGAGTCTGTCAGTTTCTATCCAGACCAGCCAGGACTGGAAGCCCACCCGCAGCCTCATCGAGCACGTTTTTGTCACTGATGTCACAGCCAACCTCATCACAGTCACTGTGAAAGAGTCCCCAACCAGCGTGGGCTTCTTCAGCCTGAGACATTACTGAGACCTCTGCCATCCTGGCCCCCCAGGTCTGCCTGCCTTCCTGTCTGGTTTTTCTCTGACACATGACACATAGCCCAGCCCTGAGAGGGCTGGGATGGGAGTGAGGTCTCCTTGGTAGGCAGGCTTGTTCTCACTCTGCCTTGTCCTAAGGACTTGGTAACAAACTGTCCTCTTGACTTGCTGGGGCCTGGCTTCCCCACTACCCTACCTCTCCAGGCCCCCGCCTCAGCCCATGTCTCCTCGGGACCCCTGGTGGCCCATGCCTCAAGCCCCCAGCTCAGCATGCGCCTGAGCCTCCTACCTGGCTCCAGGGAGACCAGGGCAGTGTCAGAGGTGCTTCTCATACAGCTGTTTCTCCCAAGGACTGGGGAGAAAAAAGGGAACTCTGCTGTTCCCTCTTCTTGGCAACACTTTCTAGAAAGTAGAGTGGGACAGGCAGGACCCTCCTTTATAGTGGTGCCTGAGCCTTTGATGATAAAGTAGGGATCCCGGCCCTTGGGCCTAAAGTAAAAGGACAGGTCCAGCACACAAGGTCTCGACCCAGCCCTGGTTCAGAGTAACATCTCCAGCCTTCAGGTATTTGCCTGAGAAAGTCCAGCTAACCTGGTGTACCCCAGGGCCCTCTAGGTTCAGGAGCAAGGCAATCTGGTCATGGCTGCCTCTTTACCAACCTGTACCCCAGTGGCAGGTGACCCTAGGCTTCCTAGAGTGCATCCTAGTTCCAAGTCTAAAGCCCTAGACTTGGGGTAGAAAATCAGGGAGTGGAGGAACTCGGTTGTGAGGTGGCCTTGGCATGTGAGCCTCTGTCAAGCTGGAATTTATCTTCTGATGACAAGGACCAACCTAGCTCTTGCATTACCCAAAACTGTCCCCACCAGCCACCAAAGGACTAGCAGGCATTTTGTTGCTTGGGAGCTGCTTTCCCTGACAATCCCCCCACACCTTTGGGGGTTCTGCGCCTTCCCAACTGAGAAGAGGCGGCTCCATACCATTTGAGGTTGGGCAGCCAAGGATTAAGGTCTTTAAGCCTTGGCCCCTGTGCCCTGTTCACCCCCTTCTGGGGAGACTCAAGATTTTGAGTCCTTTTTCACCTCTGTCCCACGTCAAAGTAATTGCACCGGTCCTGAGACTATTGGGCAGAGGTGACCAGGAGGTGGCAACCACTCCGGTCAATAAATGTAATGCCAAAAAGAAGTTGGAGGTGAGGGGTATCCCAAGCTGCTTCCCTTGGGCACTGCACAGATGTGGGATTCTTAACTCTGGGTGCCTTTGAGGGATTTGCTGCCCTTTCTAAAACTGGCCCCAACTGAGGGCATCTGGCTTTCGGGGACCTCCCAGGCTGCAGGGAAGAGAAGACCTTTGTGTACCCAAATTGACCTCAGTAGTGTGCCTTCGGGGACAACCCATGTCCACAACTACCCGAGGGACCCTCAGATAGCAGCCTCAGTGCCCACAGCAGGAAGCTGAGGAAGGACTGCTGTGCTGCTCTGGGACCCCTCACTGCCACCTCCCTGAGGGTCCAACAGCTTCCCCTACCAGGCACTGTGCAGCCTTAGGAGCTCCTCTAAGCCCTTTGTGGGGTGCCATGAGCTGTTGAAGTGGGGTGTGCAGCTGCCCAGCTTTGTCCCCAGCTGCCAGTTCTCTCCAAACCCAATTTGGTGCCTTTTTTACCAGCTACGTCAATCCCAAAGTTTGAGTGGCCACCTTACTCCTAGCCACTTTGCCTTGTTGCTGTGCTGTGTGTGCTGGCACTGTGACCCCGGCAGTTCGTGTTGAGGATGTGTGTGCCAGTGCAAGGGGCTGCAGAAGATGCTGGTTAGCCGTCTCATGTTTACCAACAAATAAAAGTAGTCCTGTTTGTATTTTTATTTGCTGCTATTTGGTGTGTGTGGGTATGTGTATAGCTAGGCCTTAGCCTTACTTCCTACTAAGATCTCTTGTTCATTTGTTGCCTGAGGGTCCTGGGTGAGCTGTACCACAGTGTTTGTGTCCTGAGTGAGTGGGTGTTGTAACCTCCAGTTTTTGTTTGCTTCTGTGTTGAGTGGGAAGAAGTGGCTAGTCTGACCTCTTCCATAGAGGGTTTGGCTTCTTTTTGTATTTTTGGTACCAAAAAGAGTGTTCCATGCTTGGGTTACACTCCAAAGTCTGACCCGACTAAAGAGCACTCCAGATCTGAGGTTTCATCCAGAAAACTCGGGGGAGAACCAGTGCCAATCACTGGCTTGATTTGTGTTTTTTAATTAAAAACAAAAAGCCAAATCATTCGTGTATGCCATTTTCAACTGCTTTAAATTATTCCTGTTTGTTCGCTTTCTTAAGAGCGAGTTTGGGTATGTTTCTGCCCTGGGAAAACTTGGGCTCTTTGTTAAAACAGGACAGCAGCCTAGCCCCCTATTTTTGATGGAGACCAGCCGGGTCAAGGAAGTTCCTTCCCCCAGGAAGCCCACAGTGGTTTGGGGGAAGAGGCTGTAGTAGGAGAAAGGTGGCACCTGGATGACCAGATTTTTACCCAAGTGCATTTGGTAATTCTGAGGTATTGTAGTATTTTCAGAAAACTAACACTAGCATAGGTTGCAGGGGTTTTTTATAGACTTATGCTAATTTATTTTGAAGGAGGAAGACCATAAATGTCAGAAGACTTGTCCTTTTTGTTAACTATTAGTATACCAATAAATATTTTTGTAAACCTTTCAATCTGGTGTATGTTGTGATGCCTAGAAACACAGTAACATTTCATTTTGTCCAAGTCAAGGTGAAATACAGAAGACAGACTGAATTGCTGAGGCAGGAAAAGTCAAAAGAACCATTTTAACGGGGAACAGGGGCAGATGTTTTGGGGAGCAAGGGATGGGGTCCAGCAGTCCACAGTGAAGCTTTGGTGGTTATGTAGAGGTGTGTGTGTGACAGGGTCCTACTGACATAGCTACTGTGTAGGGGTCTGGGCCCCTGCCATGTAACAATTCACTTTGAGACTATTCCCAGAAGTACATTAAAAATTAAGGGCATTCAAAGATGACACCGTGTCAAACTGCTGGGCTCCCTGGTGCATTTGTAACCCTAAAAGGACAGACCACTGTGAAATTCCAGGAAGTCACTATGCAACACAAGCATCCCCCAGTCTGGGGCCACTGTCCCTCCTAACCCATGGCTCACAACTGAAAAGCCTTCCCCGCCCCCTTACGCTCTGCGTTACCCTCCACATGAATTTATTCATAAAATCAGCCTCTCGGGAGAATCCAGCTTTCTTTGAAGACAGAACTTGGGCCTGGACGCTGGCCACCCCTGGCTGGGAGGCTGGCCGAAGTGCGGGCCGGAATGTTTGCCTCCAGGGAGGGGGTCCCCTCTGCAGATAGGAATGAAGCCAGCTCTAGACTCCAGAAAGGCCTTTTCTTTTGTTGCTTCCTGAGGCTCTATTTTGTTTTGGGAAAGGTGAGCAGGGAAGACCTCCGTGGGCGGTCCTGTCCTCTGGCTTTTGCTCTCAAAAGAGCAGAAAGAGGTTGCAAACGGCCAGAAAGGCGCAAACCGACCACGATGACAAGTCGAGTCAGGCTTTCATGAGAGCCGGTTTCTACAAGGGACTCGCCAGACGGAGCAGGGCTCTGGCCCACACTGGCCTTTGTTAGTTTCTGCCCTGCTGATCTGATCGCCTAATCCACCGCCTTCTCAGAAGAATGGACGGGGTTGCCAGGGGCCCGACCCGGCCCGAAGGCCCTGCCCTGCGCGCCGAGCCCCAACCAACCCCCAGGTCCCTGGAGGACAGGGCTCAGGCGGCCAGACACCGCCTTCCTCCCCTCTATCCTCGCGGCTGCAGAGGGGTTGTCCGGAGACCGAGTGCCCAGCACCGCCCTTGGGTGGATGGCGTTGCAGTTTGCGGAGCCAGAGAGGCACCGGCCCGGAGGCGGAGTGGGGAGCGAGCGTGGGGGCGGGGCGAGGAGGCTGATTCCGCCGCCCCTAGAGGGCGCGCGCGTCCCACGAAGTTTGGGCAGCCGGCGCCTCCGACGTGCGGGGACACCGCCACCCGCAGTTCCAGGTTGTCCCGAGCGCTTGCACGGCCTGAGCTTGGGCCGTTTCGAGAGACTCCCAGGCTCCAGGTGTCCGAGGTCCCAGCAGGAGAGCCCGGACTGTAGGCCACAGCCTCTCGCCACACCAGACCCACCTCGGGCTCCGGCCAAGGTCAAGGCACCCCTGAGCTCCAAGGACTTTTTGGTGAGAAGAGGGAGGCCCACAGGGGTATCTCTCCCGCGCACAACACAGATCTGGACCAGGACCTGTGCCCCGTAAGCATCGATGAAACAGAAAACTGCGGAGAGCTGTGAAGACTCCATTCAGCCCGCTCAGGCAGGTTTAGGCTCCGTGCTGGCGACGGCAACACTACGTGGCCCTATCCCAGGATGCAGGAGACCAGCCAGGGCCAACGCACCAACGCACGCGGGCTGCTTTCCCAGAGAATCTGCTCGGGAGAAAAACTTGGCAGGGAACTCCTGGTCAAAGCCAAGATGGATTGGTAGCCAGTAAGCCCAGAAAGGGGCAGGGTTGGCGCCCCTGTCTCCCTAAGCAGGATCCCACATCTAGAAAAGGTCACCAGAAGTAGCCTGGTGCGGCGGCGGGGTCACTGATGCCGAGATACTGGGACCCGGTCACCTAACAGCCTACCGCGTCCCCTGACGCCCACGGTCCTGCAGAAGTCCAGCCCAGCGCCCCCAGCCCAAGGAGAGGCAAGGCAGCCTCAGGCACAGATCACGGCGCTCACCGTCCGCGCTCAGGCTGCTCACGTCGGAAGGGCAGCGGAGCCCCGCGCCCTGCCGCCGCCACTTCAGGTGTGGGTGCGCCTTGCAACACGGAACCTCCGACGCCCACCCTAGAGCAGTGGAGGGGGGAAACAGGAGGGTAAGGGTGGAGCCATGAACTACACTGCCTGAGGCCGTAGGCTGGCGCCCCTCCCTGTGGTTTCTGCGGGTGTCCCCAGCCCACGGCTTCTCAGCGGGGGTCGATGGCTGAAGGAACCATGGATGTGGAACTGGATGCTAGGCTAGAACCTCTTTGAGCATCTGAAGGGTGGCTGTCCTGTGCGGGCGTCACGACCCCACCCCCAATGCTGCCAAGTCTGCTGCCTGCAGGGGCTGAGAACACGGTCCACCAGCATCCTCGCTTCCCTCCCTGGTCAGTCCCTTGCCCAGCAGTGGGGTATCTGCCCTCCAACAAGACCAGGGACAGAGAGGCTGTTGGGACTTGGGAGGGCGCGCGGGATTGCGGTGCTGAAGCTCCGGGTTCACTAATCACATCAGCGTGCTCTGCGCCGGCTCCGAGCAAGCAGTTGCCTAGCAATACTCGCGAATTCAATTCCTCAATCAATAGACGCGAGTCTCTCCATTTCGGGGAGCGCTGGAGAGTCTGGGTGGGTCTGGGGCAGGGGTACCTCGACAGCACAGAGAGCCAGGCCAGAAAAAACAATGAGCAGGCCACAGTTCCTGGCCTCGGAGACCAGCCACGTCCTGCCCAGGGACGGGTCGTGCGGGGGTGGGGAGAAACCCCGCCTAAGGAAAGGGGAATCGTGAAGTGCGGTGCATCTTCCCAGGGTCCCCAGATCTGCCAGGGTCCCAAAGAAGTGCAACTGTGAAATGAGAAAAGCCATGGCCTTGGAGGGAATGGGAGGGACCTAAGAGAGACAGTACCCGCTCCCTCCCCAGCCTATCTTTCCCCTGTCGGGGAAGGGCTTTTGCGGGCAATCAATCGGAGGAGTCCCAGGTGAAAGGGTGCCAGGGTGGGTCGTGGGGTGAGTAATGAGTGGAAGCACCGGTCCTCCCCGCCCTCCCGAACAGCCTCTTCCCCATATTCAAGGGCAAGTATGAATAAAGAGCAAAACCAAGACGTGTGTCTATTTACAAAGTATATATTTAAACACGTAAAAAGCGGTACTAGATACAGACATTCACGACCATAGAAGATAGGTACCAAAGCTTCACTCTTGAGCTGAGGTGGAGATCGATTCGAGATTTGTACAAATCTGAGAATTAAATACACCAGCAGACGCACATCCCGCGCTGCCGCAGACTCCCACCCACGAGGCCCCGGCCCCTGCTACCCACCCCGCGGTCAGCGTCTCAAGAGCTAGCGAGACATACACGACGGCCACGGACACACAGCAGGATGAGGGGTGGTGAGGCAGAACCACGCTGGTAGGGGTAAGGCCGGAGGGAAGGGTCCAAGTCTGCCCAGGCAGCTGGGAAGTGGAGTCAGGGAAGGACTGCAGAGAAGGGAGGGGGCAGCCAGGTAAAACTCGTGTCCCCGAGCCACTGTCCACTAGGTTACGGACTTGCCCCTTACGTGCTGGTTCATCTGAAAATAGCGACAGACACCCTCGGTCAACGGCGCTTCTTTATACAAAATCTAAAATAGCAGTTTTACAAATGTGAGCAGATAAAAATCCCCATTCCAGGGGCTTCTCCCTCGGTGCAACTTGATATTCAAAAAGAAACAAATATCCTGCAGCACACCACTTGGCTTTTTTCCTCTCTCTCTTTAAAGGCTAGAAAGTCTAGAGGGAAGAGAGGCTTGAGAAACTGAAGGTGGGGAGCCGGGCTGCGGAGGACCATCAGGGCCTTCCGCCTCCCCCCCCCCCGCGCGAATCTCCCCCAGCGCAGCCGGGGGACCCGGCCTCGCTCGCTTGCCGGAGTCTGTGCTTTGCTTAGCGCACAAAGCCCTGCGCCCCTCCCTCGACGAGCCCTGAAAGTTAGTTCTTCGCTGGCCCTTTAAGGGCGGGGAGGGTGAAGAGGCCGCAAAAAAGGAGCTGGAAGAGACTGGGAGTCCGGTGGGGGGGACCGATTTGTGCTTTTGAGTCGGAGAGGGGCGCTGGGCGCAGGGCGGTGCGGTGCGGAGTCTGCCCGGGCGGGGGCGTGGCGGGACCGGCGCCGCGCACCGCCTCCCCCACCGCGGCTGCCCGCACACCCGACGCGCTCCTCCTCCTCCCCCTCCGCGGGGTTTGGATGTCGAGTTCACAGAGAGAACACTCCTCGAACCGAAAAGGCCTATAAATTACAGCTTTTGCTTTTAAGGAGGGGGAGGAAAAAGCAGAAGTTCAGATGCGCATTCTTGGATGAAAACCCGCCTCCCTCCTTCTCTGTGCGCTGCTGCAGCCCCTGGGCCTGAGTCCCGTGCAGGCGGCCGGGCGAGCGGCGACCCCGGCCCGGGCCTCCCCGCCGCCAGGCGCACAGCTCTCTTTCGGCGTGCCCGCCGCCCGTCCCGCAGGACGGCCTGGCAGGCGTGTGTCCCTCGGAGTGCGGGCCCGCCCTCCCCGAGGGAGGGAAGCTGTCCAAGTCTTCCTGGGCGGTGGGGCCGCCGTCTCCTCTCCTGGCGAAGCTAGAGAACACGCAAAGGAAAAGTCCACCTGAACACTTTTCTTGTAAAACAACTGTCTGGAGCTCTGGGCACTGACACGCAATCCTCCCAATTTATCCTGGCATTTCGGGAATGTAAACAGATTTGCTGGATTTCTTTTCTCTCTGCGGAGTAAGGAAAGGAATGGAGGGACGGGGAGATTTCATCCACAAGACACACACGATCCGCGTGTACAGCACACACACCTCCCGTAAAGTGCATTTCCTGGTGTGGTCCTGGGGTGGGAAACGGCTCCCCACCCAACTTCGACTTTTTACCTTCAACCTCACACAGGAAAAGTTATTCAAGTTAATACTTTTTTCCCCTAATAGACTTCATAATCTTTACAAAGAAAAAAAAATAGAAAAACAGAAAGCCCAGACTGACCCCATCCCACCCCCTTTTTCTGATTGGGGAGCTAACCTTTTGTTGGCCTGCCTGGCCAATAGGAAGAGAGAGAAAACCCAGAGCCATCAGTCTGGCATTGGGAGTGTGAAGGAAGGAGGGGTGTGGTGGGCAGGCTGAGTCCCTCCAGAAACCCTCAGAAACCCGGTGCCCAGGTCCCAAGGGAGGACAGGACCCCTCTTGTCCCAACTCAGCCTGCCTGATCGCACTAAACCACACTGTCTCTCTCTCTCTCTCCTTAAATAAAACAACTTCAAGAGTTGAAATATATATATTTAGATATTTTTCTTAAATAACATATTTACATCTAATAGAAAATATAACTCTAGAGATAAATTTCCAACCAAAACTGAGGGGGTAAGAAGGAAGAATGAAAAAGGCTGACAGGGTGTGAAGTCAGGGGCAGGACCAGCCAGAGGCCGCATCCCACCTACAAATAAAAAGCACTATGCCAAGTCTGGCTCACTCTCGCCTGTTCTTGTCCTGGGCTCACCCACCCAGCAATTCATCTTTTCTCTTTAAAAAAACCTTGGTCCGTGTTACTTTCCTTAATGGTGACCGTTAAAAAGTTTGAGGTCACATCAGTGACCACCACCTTCTCCAGATTCGTCAGGGAGGGGCTCCAGGATTCCTCCTCTGGGTCCCCCAGGATTCTGGCCACTGGGATTCTGGCGATGAGGGAGGGCCTTCCCCCCTGGGCCCCCATGTCCCGATAGAGGTTCCCCATAGAACCTGGTGTGCCTGAGCCATGCCGGACCCGAGGGCCACTAGGGTCAAGAGCACCCTGGCCTTTGGCCTCCAGGAAGGCGGCCCTGTGCTTTATGACCCTGGCAGGGAAGGTGTCCACAGCCAGCTTGCCTGTGGCCTCAGCTGAGCTAGGGCTGGTCACACCACACTGCACCAGGTCCGAGTCCTGCCTTCGGGCCAGCTGGATCACACTGTGGCCAACTGGGAATTTTCCTGCTCCAGAAGGGATGTCATCCAGCTTCCTGCCCTTGAGGTAATCTCCAAGGCCATCACTGGGTTCTCCCAAGGGCCTCTGTGAAGGGTCCAGGAGATCCTTCCGGGGCTTGGGGCCTCGCTTCTTGGAGCTGTCCCCTGGTGAGCTGGGCTTATCATCCATGCGGCTGGCAGCCCTTTCTCTTTCTCGTTCTCTCTCTCGCTCTCGATCTCTTTCACGTTCTCGATCTCGATCCCGATCCCGATCCCGATCCCGGTCCCGGTCCCGGTCCCGAGGAGGCTCTGGTCGACAGGTGCTACTGGTGCTACTACTGCTTCCTGGTGGGGACAGACCCATGTTCCGAAGGCCCTCCCGGGCTCGAGAAGTGGAAGCTAGATCCTGGGGCGAGCGGCCTGGGTAGGGAATCCTGATGCCTCTAGCTGAGTCACTCCTAAATTCATAGGTTTTGGCCTTTGCCTTGGCCTGGGCCTGCATAGAGAAAACTAAGTTAGAAACAGAACACTGCCCTGCCCTCTGCCCTCCTCCAGCCTTGACCTCCAGACCTCACCTTCTGATGCCTGGAAATTCTAGAAAGTGAGAAGGTGGGGCTTAGAGGTGGTGATTATGGGCAAGGGCAGAGAACTTGTGTAGAAGCAGCCAATGCACTTGTATTCCATTATACATCCACTTCGGAGGCCTGAGATTGGGGGCACAAAGGTTTTCTAGTGTGTCTAAAACTCCTCCCCTCACACACCCCCAGGAGCCACTGACTTGGTGACTTGTCAGGAGACTCCCTCCCCTACATTTACACAGGCAGTAGCACACCCCCTTGGCCCAAGCCCTGGTGGTAACTTCTGCACTAAGTAACTTCATAATATCAGAGTTCACACTGCACAGTCATCCTACCTTGAGAAGGAAGGTTTTGGGTTTGGGTCCTCGTTTTTTGGGCCCATAGAGCTCCATCTCTCTTTCCCTAGAAAAAGGAGACAGGAAGAAGGGGGTGTGGGCAAAGTAATCAAGTGAGTCTCCAGTCCAGGTAGAATGGAACCCACCCCACACCTTTCCAAGTGAACAGCTGGGGCTCAGAAAGGTCTATACCTTTCCTCAAAGGCTGCAAGCAACCGAGCATCCAGGATGTTTTCCTCTGGCTCCCATGTGCTGTACCTAAGGAAATCAGGAAGAAGTGGGCATTAGTGCCGGTGCAGGGAGAGTGGAGAGTGCAAGGTGTGAGTGTGTGTAACTTCTTTCAGTACCTTGTATTGTATTTCAATGCAAGGGGGAATAAGAATAGAAAGAAACCTCCCGAATAACAGTCTGGGTTTAGAACTGCATATAACCTACTTACTTCTGCGACCAGCCCTTCCATTTCACGAGGTATTCCATGCGTCCCTGCAGATGCAAAGGAAGAAAACGTGTGTGTGTGTGTCTGTGCGTATGGGGAGAAATGCATGACGAGGACACAAGAAATACATATGAAAAATGCATGCACCAAATGAATGCTTGAAACCCCACCGCCTGCTGCATCACCCCTGCACGAAACGCTGCACAAAGTGCATGCACCGGCATTCATCTCCCACTCCACCCCCCACCCATGCAATCTGTGCATCGCTGCAAGTCTAAGGAGAGCGCTGGGGCTCAGAGCCGACGCCGCCGCCGCCACGGCCGCGGCCGCGGCTGGGACCTGGGGGAAGGGAAGCTGGCTGCAGCAGAGGGAGGGAACCTGGGCCGGAGGGGAGGGCCCGGCCGCGCCGAGGCCCGAGGCCCGGAGCACCTACTTTCCGTATGCGCCGCTTCAGGAGGGCTTCGGCCGCGAACACCCGCTCCCCCACCGCCGAAAGCTCCATATTGACTCGCCGCTTCCCCTCTTGGCCGCTTCCAGGAGCTGAAAAGCAGCAGCCAGCATACGACAGACCATAATACTCTCCCGCTGACGTCAGTTCTCCTCCCCTCCCCGCGCGCGCTCCCTCCCCGACCCCCCCCCCCCGCCCTCTTCGCTGTGCTCCGCTCCCACCTCCCTTGCCCCGCGCTTCCTCCCGCCCCACGTGTTGCTAACGACGTTGCTAAAGCCGAGCGGTCGAGTCTTGAACCCTGCGCGCTGATTGGGCGAGCTCCAGGCCACGCCCCCTCCCTTTCTCCCCCGCGTTGCTACGTGACCCGCGTTCCGATTGCCACGGGGCGGAGTCCGTGGGCACTCCAGAGACTCGGTACGCCGAGGAGGGCGCCGCCGCCGGAAGTGACGCAAGAGGAGGGCGGGCCCTACCGCTGTCAGTCTGTGGGGCTTGCTATGGGGGACAAGCTGCTCTGTGTGCTAGCCTGGGCCCCCTCCCCCGCCTCCAAGTTGTCCCTCCGGTGCTGGACGACCCCACTGCTCTGGTTGGGACCCCCGTGGCGATGTCAGCCGGGCCCCGCCTCCTCGGCAGACCCCGGCCCGCCCTACCCCCACTGCCTGGGACTTGTGCCGGCCCCTCCCCCGTCGTCCACGCCGCACAATGCACAATGCACAGGTGCTGGGGCGCTGTAGACCGCGCCCGAACCCCGACACCCCAAGCTGCGCCCCTAACCACTCTCGCTGCCGACCCTTTCCCCACACCCCACTGCACAGCCAACCCTCGGTCTCCATGGCAACGCTCTCCCCCCTCTGCCGTCCCCAGGCCCTGCTCTCTAACAAATCAATGTGCCTGCTCCTCGATCTCCGGTCGCGCAGCGCTGCCCTCGCCCACCCTGCGGGCCCAGCGAGCCTGACTGGCCAGAGCGCTCGCCTAGCACAGAAATCCAGCGCTACCCGAGTCCACTCGGCTGTTGTCGCACGAACACTGCCGGGGCTGGGAACCTGCGGGGACGTCGCATGCCCCATCCTGTTACCGATTGTTCCCTACCCCCAAAGCCACCTGTCCCTGCCCCTACCTCGGGATGCCAGCCCCCACCAGGCCCAAGTCTCCAGTGTTGTCAACCCTGCGCGCCTGTGTTGGGCCTGGATGTGTTAAGGGAATGGAAGACCATCAGGGCAGAGCCTAGACCTTGGCTAATTTTGGGGTGCGCGTCGGGGGGCACTTCGTTTCCTCTAGACCCCGGTGCCTGGCCCGCGCGCACTTCCTGTCCGTGGCCGTTCCTGTTGTGCGCAGCAGTCACCCGGCGAGAAACGACAGTGCGGAAGTTAGGGGGCGTTGTGGTGTCCACTACGGGCTTGGCGAGAGGGTGTCGCGAGCGAAGTTGGTGGGTCTCAGAAAGGGGCCAGAGCCAGAGCCGGGACGCAGATCTCTAGGCTCTGCGCACCTGCATGTGCATTCGCTGACCTCCCGCCTGCTCAGTTCTTGACCACTAGTGGCGGGGACAGCGGCGAGGACGGCAGCCGCAGTCTGGGCCCAGAGGGTCCTTCGCCCTTTTCTCTTACAGCTCAAGTTCCGGTCACAACGCCCCCTTCCTGGAACCTATGATTTGGTTAAAACACCGACGACCAACTTGACTGGAAGCTGTTTCTGAGCCAGGGATGGGGTGGGATGGATTGGATGAAAGGAAGGGATAGGAAAGACAGGAAGAGAAGAAGCGACCCAAGGAGTTTGGCGGCAACGGCGGGGAAACCCGCAGCTGTAAACTGGCCTCCCGGCTACAGCAACGTGCCACGCGGTCGCTGCGCGGTCCTCGGCTCGGGACAGGCGGCGCTGGGCACGCCCTCCCTAGAAGTCCTCTCTCCCATGGAAACACGGGTTCCTTGGCCTTGCTCCCAGATTTTACAAGGTGGGCGCTGGGCTGCAGTCCCACCTCTCCAACCCTCCCGACTTAACGAACAGCGTGCCTTGGACTCCCAGAGCGCCCCGGTGACCCACGCCCCGCCGCCTGCAAGAGGCCGCCGACGGCTGCATCCTTAATCATAAAAAGTCATTCCCGGTAACAAATAGTTTCGTCGGCCGGTGCCGGCGATACAGCTGTTTCTGTTTAAGCTTAAATACTTTCCAACAGTTTGGGCAGTAAAAATAAAGTCGGCCTCAGCCGCCTGTAAGTGTCTGGTTTCCCCGCCCAGAGAAAACCCACCCTGAGCCCTGGGCCTGGGTCGCTCTGCTTGCTTCGGCTGCCCCGTCTTGGAATCTGCTGCCCGCTCTGGGCGCCACTGCTGCCCACCCCGAGGCTCGGCTTGCTCTAGACACTTCTTCGCCCGACTGTAGAACAGGAGCTCCCCTCACCTAGAACAGGACGGGGGAAGCTTGCCGAGCAGCGGGCTGACTGGACACCCCCGGCCTGCCGGCCTCCCCTACCCTTGGACAGCTCGCCTGTGCCCCGGAAAGGCGGCGGTTTCCCTTCTGCGAGCCTTTCTGCAACCCAGTCCGAAGCAACTTTGTGCTAACCAACTGGGTCTTGCACTCGGTGCAAAGAGGTCGGTCGATTGTTTCAGTTTCACCATAGGGGGAAAAAAACTAGCTTTCCTCCTCCGCCGCCCAGTCTTCCTTCTTTTCTTTTTTCTCCCCTCCCCTCTGTATCCTTCTGCTTCTTGTCTCATTTTTCTTTCTTTGCCTAAGTACCTCTGCAGCTCCAGGGGCGAAAAGGAAGCCCCGGGCATTACCAGGCACAGCCCTTTCCTCTGCAGGAGTATTTGATGGTCGTTTCTTGTCCTCATCCTACTTTCCCACTGGTCTTTATGATGGATGCAATTCTTCCAGGATAGCTTGCTCTGAACAGAATTAGCACTTGAGGGTGTCTGAGTTTACAAATGTCATCGGGGATACCTGCAGAGTGCTGGGTAAAAGTGCTCCTGAATTAAGAGGGAAGGAGAAGTACAGATAACCTGACATCACTTGGAGGCTGGCTCCTGTCCGATGTAGAACTCCTCAGCCCTATGGAAGAAAACCCTGGCAGGGTGGAGCGGGGCGCCCTTACTCCACACCCCCATTCCCTGTTACTCATGGGATAGCAGGGTTGCAAAAAGTGTGGAAAAAAGGTCATTGGGTGGATTCACTCCGCCACCGTTAGAGACAAAGGGAGAGGAGCGAATCTGAGAAGGAAACCCATTTCTCCTACAGCGCTCAGAGCTGAGGTGTAATTTGGTGGGCTTGAGAAGATGTCCGTGTGTGCCAAGAGAGGGCGCTAGTATGTCCCAGGTGGTACTGTCATTGTGGCCCACTCTGGACAGGTCGCTTTGGGCCACTCAGCTGGTGGAGGGATCCCAGAAAAAACACAGAGAGGATCCCCGCTCTGGCTCTCTAATTGGACCCCCTCTTCAACAGATTCCATTCTCACCACTCCTTTCTTCCACACAATGGCTTTCCTTCTTCCAAGTTAGATAATTGCTTTTCCCACACCACCTGCACCTCCCTGGAGTAAATAAAGTTTCAAAGGACTGGACTCTGTGCTACCAAGCCCACTTCTCTCGAGGTCCCTCAAAGGCTACCAGGTTCCTGTGCGCTGCCTCTGCAGTAAATAAGGTAACTCCTTCCTATTACTTTAGCCCCATATGGCTGCAATTTGAGTGTCTTTGGAGACAGTGCGTGTGTTGGGGGGGGGGCAGGAGAGAGTGAAAGTGGAAATCAAATGCTCTTACATTGCATTTTTATGAAGGAAATTGTCGACGATTCTCTTAACTGCCTACCCCTTCCCAAGAAGAGCTGCCCAGTTTCTTTGTTTATGGAAATTCAGACTCCCACTGGCCTGGGGACACCTGCTTCCCCAATCCCTGTCTCTTGCCCTATTCTTCACTGGTGCTGGTGACCTGGGGCCCAGCCCTTGACTTTGCCTCAATACAAAGGGCCTCCAACCAGCTCCTGGGAGCCTGCCCAATCCTTGGGATGACTCGGGAGTCCCAACTGGCCTGTTGACCCTGCCCCCTAGGAATGCTAAGACCACCTGGGGACTGAGGCCCTCTTAGGGCTCCTTGTGCCTGCTGCCCACCGACCTATCAACACAGTCTCCTACAGCAAAGCCCAAAGCTGGTGAGGTCCTGGAGGCGGGAAGGCGGGCCCAGGCCAGGTGCTCACTGCCTCACTGCCAGGTCGAGGCCAGATCAGCAAGCCCCAGCATGCCCTCTCCCTTGAGGCTGAGGCCACACCTCAGCTAATTCTTTGGGAGCATTTCAACTTCGTGGCTTGGAGGGCATTAGACCTGCCCGGTCTTGGCTGCGAATTCAGGCAGCTTTGGTACCCAATGTATTGTGTCTGGGGGCAGGCAGAAGGCTGTGACTTGATCAAGGCAGCCTCTGAGGCATGGTAAGGCCCAGCCTGGCAGCCCAGATGCAGCAGGGGGTATCCAGCTGGCCTCACAGGACCCCAAGCCCCAGCCAAGCCCAAGCTGGTTGCTGGCCTATAAGAATTACCAGAGTCTGGTATGGGATGCAGCAGGAGTGACCCACATCCTGGACAGAGGTCAGAAGCCCTGGCCTGTACAGGCTGCCAGGTTCCTGGCTGAGGGTCCTCTAGTTGTTTCTGCAGCAAGAAGGACCCTGCTATCCTGTCCCACTTTCTTCTCTCTAGGGGACAGCAAGGTCCTTCTTGCTACAAAATGAGAAGGGGCCCTTTAGGCAGTTTCCCATGGGCCTATGCACACTAGAAGCCACATAACCTTTGACTTCTGCCCCCTTAAGCCACAGGAACAAGGTCAAGCTCCCTCCCTACCCCTCTAGGGGGGAAAATACCCTCCCTCAGTTAAGACATCTATTGAGCTGTCAGTGTTGGGCTAGTATCTGCCCTATTCCTGAGTCACAACCAGGGAAGAGCCACTCTACTGCCCCATGAGGCCTTTCTCATCTATAAGATGAGGGGAGCTCTGGGGGGAAAAGAGGTTATACAGCAGGGGTTCTGCCTGAGAAGCTCTAAGATCAGAGCTGTGATAACAGAGACTCAGCCCTCCTGAAACCTCAGTTCATCTGGGGTTTAAGGAAAGAATTCAAGTTAAAAAAGGGCTGGCCAACTTCCTGGGATGGACACAGCAGGGCCTCTAAGCACAGCCTTCTGACAAAAAAGATGGGGCTGCAGCAAA